TGAAACTTTCTTTTGTCAATTTTCGAGATTTTAAAAAATATATTTTTGGACGATTTTAAACATTGGTTAGATCCGATCCGAACCGTACCCGGAAAAAACCGAACCGAATCCGATCCGATAATTTGTAAAAACTGAACGGTACTTGTGAGTATAACACCGAAAATCAAAAAATCCAAATAACCCGAACCGAAACCAAATGGGCTCGGTGGAGGCCTAATTAAGAGTTCAGGTCCAATAATGGCACACTCCCAATGCACACTCCCATTTTGGCCTTCCTTCCGGTGCTCGAGACAAGCAAAGCCAAGGTCTCACGAGTCGTCCTCACTCTTGGCGTTTAATGAGATTGTAATAGAAAACTGCGAGTCGTATTCGGCGTAATAAACGGCAGGTAGTTTACACACATGTTTGGATGATTTGTGTGTACTAGTAGTATCAAGTTAAGAATGAACTATGGTTGTAGCACCTTTGTACACAATTTTCTATCATTACAAATCGTCATGACCATCAAAAACATAATCATGACACTATTCATGAACTGTATTCCATGTGTAAGCTCAAGACGATCAATCATACAACAGCATCGGCTTGTCTCTTAGTCAATCTCGCGTATAAGCCATCTTTGCTCATAAGTTCGTTGTGATTTCCCATCTGTTTTGCAGACAAAACATTAACAGTCAAGATCACAGAGATCAATGGTTTCAATGAATTGAACAAAACCGGTTACCTCAACGACTCGTCCACTGTCCATAGCCACTATTCTATCCGCAGCCTTAATTGTAGAAAGTCTGAAGGAACATTATGTTGAACATGTCATTTTCATAAATCAATCATCAAAACATGTCTGTTTAAGAAAAAAAGATACCTGTGTGCTATCACTATGACGCTTCTCTTTGACGCTGTATCGCTTCCGATAGAACGAAGTACTCCCTGGAAGAAACAAAAAGTTAAGGATTCTTGCATCCAAGTAACGTTTATTTGGAACTAGAGGGGATTTTACCTTAACGTTGTGTTCACTCTCTGCGTCAAGTGCACTTGTTGCTTCATCTAGGATAAGTATTTTAGGATCTCTAAGGATGGCACGAGCAATGGCAATCCTCTGTTTCTGCCCTCCACTGAGTAAATCATCATCAACAATTGTGTTGTAACCATTGGGAAGTGCTACGATGAAGTCATGTGCGTAGGCTTGCTTTGCAGCCCATATTATATCTTCTTGTGTTACATTTCGATCACATCCGTACTTGATGTTGGAACCTATGTCTGTTCGGAAGAGTTTTGGTTCCTGCCCCACGTATCCGATTCTTTGCCTTAGCCACTTGACATCCAACTCTTGCAAAGGAACGCCATCGAGTAGAATCTGGAATTCAAAAAGGAAGCCTTAAGGAAGGAGAGGCTTAAAAAGGTTGTTCTACAGTGAGTGTTTGTATAACCTACCTGGCCGCTTTTTGGTTCGTACAGTTGCAGCAAAAGACTAACCACTGTGCTTTTTCCACTGCCACTTAGACCAACCTGAACGCAACAGATTTGTACACAAATCACTTCCGATACATATTAAGTAAATTAGTGCACCGTGTGACTACTTAGAGATAACTACTTACGATTGCTACCACTTCACCAGGACGCACGGAAATGCTCACGTTTTGAAGCACTGCCACCTGAGAGATTTACATATGATATGATTTGTTTAGACACTGAAAATCTAGTTCAAGAATATACACAAAATAGCGAAAAGTTAAGAGGCAAAAGGTTAGACTGCAAAAGTTACACACATGAACACAGTCATACCTCTTCTCTTGACGGGTAGGAGAACGACACATTTACAAACTCGATATGCCCTGTCAGTCTCTGCAGTCTCGTTCCTGCAGTAACAGTTGATGAACAAAAATACATTACATGGTAGAGCGTAGCAATCTCTGTAAGCTTCTAGGCAGGTCCAAAGTGATCTACTCTAGGTTGTTCATCCTCGAAGAGGCTTGACTCTTAAGCAAATCAAGCTCCCATCAATCTCATGAATGGTCAACCTTTTTCTAAAATATGCTGGTTTTTGACAAAAAGAAAAAAAAGCGGAGCCTTGCCTTTTGCTATGAACTGATCACTTGGCCTGAGATCCATCATTTGGAAGACCTTTTCACTCGCTCCAACTGATTGCATCAAAGACGATAAATTATCTCCTACCCACCAGGTTGCATATATTAACCATTCACTGTACAACAGAAACTTTGTGAGCTGCTCTGCTGTTATTTGACCGGCTAAGATAGACATTCCTCCAACCAATACAGCAATAATCTATATAAGAAACAAATGCGGATCTTGTCAAATTCTAAGTATCAGCATTATCAAGGACCACATATAAATTAACCCATCCAAAAAAGGTAAAAGGGTGAATGAGGTTATGAAAAACTGGGTTATATTTGAGGAACCTGAGTTGCATGGTATAGAGTGTTGAAGCTCCAATTCCAAATACCATATGCAGCACTCTGTCTCAAACTTACATCGGCCATTTTCTGCAGCCAGTGATTATACCTTTTCACAACAGAAGGAGATAAAATCTATGTCAAAAATACGTAAACAGAACCTGTTCTTGAAACAGATTGGGCTAAATTTGCAAAGTTTCACAAGAAATGAAAATCAAGAAATTGAGAGACTTTTAGGGTTCCATGGTATCAGACTGCACCTTTTAAGCTCTTGCTTCTCTGTTCCATATACACGAACAGTTCTCATCAAGGAGTATGTCTCTTGAGCGACCTTGCAAGATCAAGAGAGCAGTTATAAGCGAAGAATTAATTGCATAAGACATGTCAAGATAATACATCTTGACAAAAAAAAGAGATAAATAGTTCTTGAACAATCTACTTCATTCGCAGAAGCTGTGATCTCCTGAATCAACTTCGCTGTCTTCTTTTGGTACCTATAACATGAGCGGATGTAACTTTATTCTCACTCATAAGAACACTAGGTATACGTTCAACTGAGCTGCCCAGGTGAATCATCTAATCAAAAGAAACAAAGTAATGGCAGAAACTCACATCCCGTAAACAAACATAACCGCTGCCAAAATACAGCAAATCACCAACGTGCACACCCCAAGGGGCCAGGACAGGATCAATAAATAAACCAATGCCCCTGTACCCTAAGAGAAAGAAGGTAAACATACAAATAAACGTCAATCATGCGCCAAACCCGCTTTAGTCGAGATGAAATTATACTGACTCGAAGAAGACCTGAAGAACATTGCGAAATATCATGTTCAGATCATTTCCAATGACCCTCGAGACTTGCTGACAATCCGATCCAAGTCTGCTTGTTAAGTCACCAACAGTTTGCGAGTCGAAAAACGATATGTCCTGATGCACCGACAAGTTAATTTAGAATGAAAAAGGTAAGAGGTAAACATGAGCTACCAAGAGTTAAGAAGGATACAATAGCTAAAAACTGTCACGACCTGGAGGAGAAGAGTGGAGTATAGTGTTTCCCTCATCCGTTTAACCTACAGAGTAGAATGAGACCCATCAGTTTTGAGGAGATTAAAACCACAAATAGTAGGGGAAGTGGGAACTAAACTCACAAGTATCATGTTCGCAATCCCAAAGAAGCATCCTCGTATGCCACTGGAATCAAGAGTTAAAACAAAAAAAAAAGTTGTGTGAGGATCTCCACACTATCAAAACCTGGATATTGTTTGTAAAAGAATCTCAAAACAGGAGAACGTCATCAGACAGCAAAAGCAACCCTTTAATTCAACTCTAAGAAAGAAACAGGGACAAGCATTTGACCATACAAGATCTTAACCTGCAAATGCCCGAAGTAACACACAACACAATCAAGAGCTTGACATTCCGATGAAACACAGTGACATCACCACTTTGTGCCGAGAATATCGAAGCCGTCAAGAAATGTGGAATTGATATCTCTGAAAGCTGAAAACAGGTAGAGAGAGAAAAACCAATATAAGCAAAGGAGAAGATTCTGATTCTGAACTTTATCTGGCCTAAAACAGTCAATTACATATATACAATCTTAACTACTTTGGAGGCCTAATGATCTTTACAGCACAACATGAATAAGAGGAAGAAGCCACGCACCGCGGCAACAATGAGAGTAGAAAACGCAGCGAAGATAACCCACCGATCCTCAGCCACAAGCTCCCACATCCTACTCAACGCACGCCAAACCGTCACCGGCTTCGCTACGAACCTACTATCAACTTCCTCCGTGAATCTCCACCAGCTTCCCCCTGGCAATATCGTCTTAAGAAAACCAATACATTGCCTGATTCTCTCCGGAAGTGAAACCGAGTTTTTTTCCCCTTCGTAATACTCAGAGCTGCCCACTGCTGCTCCATTTGCCGTGGAGCAATTAACCGGAGATAACCGGTGATTTCTATTGGAGAATTTAAGCGAAAACGACGGTTTCGGTTTGAATCGGAGATTTTTTCTTTTGATGTCGCTCGTGGCGATAATGGAACACCGTCTGTGGAGGGAGATGTGGATAGGGCGGCGACTCGTGCAGCCGAGTACTTGCAGAGCCATGAACCGGTGGAGTGAGATGAAGAAAGCTCCACGACTTGGAAGAAGAGAGAAATGAAACGCGTCGTTTTGGGGAATTGAAGAAAGATGTTAACGTAAGGAAGCCTCCGTGTCAACCAAAACAATCCACAAAACCGGGATGGGGCCCACGGAGATCCACGACTGAGTGCATCAGCCACAAGGTCTCACCGGCGCGTGGAGATTCAATCATGTGGTGCTGTGCTCTTTGCGTCGTTTTAAGAGCAAGGCTATGAATTGAAGACATATATTCTTATCGAGTTTTAGGCCCATATCACTTAAAAGCCCAGTTAAGTTTGTAAATCCTTGGGAAAGCTGAAGAAATTGAGTGAACGGAGTTTCAGCCAAGGTAACCGGTAGGGCTGAGCACAAAAAGTGATATATTTATATAAACATTTTAAAATTTTTTTTAATATAATCTATTCACGAATAATTAAAAAAAGAAAAGAAAAAACAATGACAAAATAAAAACAATGATATATAATTTATATATAATAAACTTATTTACTTTTAAATTTATTATCAAATAATTTACCAATAGTTATCAAGTAATTTGTAAAAGGTTTACACAACAAGTAATAAAACAAGGCAAATAATTTATAAATTTACCAATTTTTCGCAAGTACTTAAAACTACAATTTTTTGTTTTTAACAAATCAAATATAAGTCCAAAATTTGAATATTCGTATAAGTCAAGTCGAGTTCTAAGTATATGGAAAATACCAAATAGTCGGCTTGTGACTGTGATTGGTGAACTCTTCCTATCCGAACGACGTCGTTTCAGTATTTAGATTGAAAATAAAAAAGAGATATTCTTATTGGGCTTATATCATATTAGGCCCAGGTAAAATATGTAAACCCTAGGAAATCTGAAGAGAGTGTCACTTTATAACTCTTTTCTTCTTAATAGTAACTCTAGCCGCAAGAGAAAACGTCGAAGGGAGTCACAGATCGGCGAAAATGGCGACGGGGCAGAAGAAGAACAGGAAGAAGCGAGGACACGTCAGCGCCGGACACGGTCGTATCGGAAAGCATCGCAAGCATCCAGGAGGTCGCGGTAACGCAGGAGGAATGCACCACCACAGGATCCTTTTCGACAAGTACCATCCCGGTTACTTCGGTAAAGTCGGTATGCGATACTTCCACAAGCTTCGCAACAAGTTCCATTGCCCGATCGTCAACCTCGACATGCTGTGGTCTCTTGTCCCTGAGGAGTTGAAGGCGAAATCGACTAAAGATAAGGTTCCGTTGATCGACGTGACGCAGCACGGGTTCTTCAAGGTGTTGGGAAAAGGTCATTTGCCTGAGAACAAGCCTTTTGTTGTGAAGGCGAAACTTATCTCGAAGACTGCTGAGAAGAAGATTAAGGAAGCAGGTGGTGCTGTTGTACTCACTGCTTAGGTTTATCACAGATTTATCTTCTGGTTTTGTTTTTTATTTTATTTTTGAATCTTCGCTAAAACTCATCCTGTTTTGGATTTTGGAACATGGTTGTTATGACATTGAGATGTGCATGTTTTGAACATCTTCGTATTAATACTTGCATTTGATTCGGACAAGTGTTAGATAGGTCGTTATAATGCTTGGCTGGATTGGGTTAGCTTTCATGTTAGTTTGCTTAATAATTATCGATCACATTTGTAACATGAGATTTGCCAAAAACAGGAAAAAAAGAACATTAGATAATTATGAACAGTTTCATAGAGGAATTATCAACATAAATAACAATTTGTAAACTTGAAATTTCCCCAAAAACCTCTCCCCACCTACCTTACTATACCTGAACCAGTACTCTGATCTTTTTATAATATATGATGTTTAATTTATTGCAAGAGAGTAAAACATTTGCATTCTTCTAAAAAAATATTTTTAAATATTGAATTTTAAAGTTATTTAATCAATTATAAATAAAATTATAAAATTTTATTGGGTAAACAGTTTTTAATAAAATTAAAATTAACCTTACAACTATATATACATTTTATTCGTTGATTTTCTTTTTGTAGAAATGTTATACATATCATAAAATTTCAATCATATATTTCATATAAATAATTAGGTTTAAGAAAATAGTGTAATATTAGAACTTAACTAAGCTTATTTATACTCACAAAAGTTTGTATTGCTCTTTAAAATCTATATATAATAGGAAATACATATATCTACGATTTTCTTTTCTTTAAAATTAAGTATGTAACTTAAAGATAATCATGTCAAGTAAATCTCTAATTTTGTCAACTATATCTCTCCTTTTTTAAAACTGGGGTAACAATGTATATCTCTAATTTTAAACATATGGTTATTAAAATACTTTTACTTTTTGGAATGATTTTACCGTATTATTTAGTAGTAAAATTTTAAGAGAGAACATATATAATAACAACTGTTCTCTCTGTTTGGAAGTGTGCGTCTCTGCAAATCTCTTCTCCATCAACCTTAGGGTATCGCCTTCACCGTTTTATTGGAAGTGTGCGTCTCTGCAAATTGTTTTTTTTTTTGGTTCTTTTCGAGAGTTTTCAGTCAAATAAGAGAATGGCTTCAGGTTCAGAGAAAACTCTTCCTTGTCCAGGTACTTTTGTTGTCTCGAATGATCTAAAGCGTACTAGTCATATGCGATTATTGTTTAATAGTACTAAGATTCGGTGGTTTTGTTTCTTCTTCTCGGCAGAAGATTCAAGTAAAATTACCTCGCCTGCCCTTGCCGTTAAATTCGATGCTTTAGATTTCCCAGCCATGAAGGCTTTGGAAGATTTCCGGGTTTCTTTTCATTCTTACATGTTTTTTTCTTTTTGGGTTTTTGAAAAGGTTTCATTCTTTTTGTTGATGGTTTATTATATTGTGTCTGCTTTGGCTTTAAACGCCAGACTTGCTGCAGAGAACTTGGTGCGAAAATGTTCGAGGATCCTGCATATATCCAAGGAGATTGGAGCAGCAAAATTCAAATGTTTCAGCGCGTTCGGGATAACGCGAGGCAGGTACTATACTAGTGCATTTATTATTATAAGCTCGATGATGATGATCCGGATGATAATTTCATTTTCTTTGTCCCAGGATCCTCGTGCGTCTCTGGAGAATCTCGTGAAACCTGGAGCACTGGAGCAATTTGCTGAGCGTGTTGCCCTAATTAGAAAAGATCCTGAAGTTGTACCCATTCTAGACGAGTTAGACGCTCGTCCTGCTGCTGCTCTCTTCAAGTAAGATTTGTATCATTCTTTTTTTCTTTTTTTTTGGTTGAAATATATGAGTGTTTGGTTCATGGAATTTTGCTTTTGGCTGTTAGGTTTTCGGTTGACAAACAAGTGTTGAAAAAGCTTGGAAAATCAATGCTTAGGTCTCAGGTAAAAGTTTTACCTCTGTCTTTATTGCTCAAAGCTTTTAACTCACTACCCTTCCAACAGGGTCTGAACTATGATGATGATGATGATAGTGAAGAACTTGTCTCTGAGGGAAGAAAAGCCCTCGATATTGCTTTTGGGTATGCCGAGGTACCTCTCTTGATTAACTTTTCCAAACTTTGTCATATTAACTAGGAGGATGATAATCACCATTGATCTTAATCTATCGTCAATTACTTGTCTTTCTAATCACACAGATGAAATGCCACAAAGTTATTCTGGATGCTCAAAGAAAAAGGGCCAATAAGGTTGAGAGGAAAAAGAAGACCACATCTCATCATGCCTCAAGTAGAAACACGAAGATTCGTAGCCTTCTCTCCAGCATGTTTGATTTTGTGTAAAATTGCAACATTAACAATGACACTGTTTAAAATGTGTATCCTCGGTTCTTGAGGATGAATTTTCAGAAAAGATTTTAGGATTTTTTTGGGTAGTTGAATATTTCCTAGATTTTCAAATATTTTTTTGGTTTTCAGATTTACGTATACAATTCGAATGCTTGGATCTTTGTCCCCAAACCTTCTATGTATAAACAAATTACATGTATTTTTCATCTATTTTAGTTAAGGATCCGAACCGATCTGATTTCCAAATATTTAGAACGATCTTCATGTCTAGGATTAATCCAGACTCAAAAAAATCTGTTCGAATTGATCCTTAGAACATCATTAATACATGTTTTTCGGAAAGATTTCTTAAGAAAATATAAAGAAATTTATTTTCTCCGTCTTAAAAAACTGCATTAATGATGCTCTTTAGAACATGATTATAGGGGTTTTTTAGTGAGTTTTATGGGTTTTTTGCATTGTTCGCATGCCCAACTATCACGTAGCAGTCCGTAAGTGGTTCGCTTTTTAATTTTTGTTTTTAGACAAAATAAAAATTAAGAAGCTCAAGTGGGTTTTTAGGGATAATTATGCTCTTAGATATTGACGTGATACCTCAATATATAAGATATTTATTTTATTTTATTTTGAGATTAGTAAGATATTTTGAAAGATAGTATTAGAGCACCTTTATTGGGGGATTTTAGAAGGGGTTTTAAGGAGAAAAGGTGGGGTGGGGACCAGAAAAGAAGAAAAAATGTGGCTTGTTGTTCTGGAATAAACGACGTTTGCAGTCTGTTTTTTACACTGTTTTGCGGGTTTTATGACACGTGGCGATCCGCGAATAATTCTTTTTTTTAATTTTTTTTTTAAATCAGATAAAACCGAAAAAGAAAAAAAAATTAAAAGACGGATCCCATCATTTCTGCGATAAAGGTGGTTAGAATGTTTTATCTTATAATGTGACATTAGGGATTTGAAGGATCTCAATCTTCAGCAACATTAGAGTTTAATCCTTCTCTAATTGTTTACTATATTGTCACTTTTAAAACAGAACAATTTTATAATAAATTCAGATTTTACAGAGATAAAAATCAAGGAAAGAGATTAAACAATGACCTTATGGTTATACAGAGAGAAATTATACATGTAGTGGGAGCAAGTATTCAAATCGAACGGTCAAAAGGAAAGGTTCCAGAGAGCTTAACAAAAGACTGAAGCACAAGTTATCAGGTTGAGTCTTTATATCACATTTGACAACAATATTATAGCCCATTTAAATCTCTATAATATTATTTGAGAAGTCACTTTCTTAGGTGTCGCTCTCACGTTAACTCTCACGCTGATTGATTACTATAATATCCCTAATGAATTAAAAATATATTTAAATATTATTATTTCCATTTTAAAATCTTCCAAATAACAATATAAAACAAAAAGGAAATATTTCTAAAATTTACAAAACTATTTAAAAACGAAAAATAAGTATATATATAATATGGTTTCATAAAAAAAGGAAAGTTTACAAAATAGTAATATTTAACTTAAATATATTTTAAATAACATAAATTTTACTTTTTAAGTAATTATACTTTATATCTATATCTTCTAAGATGAAAACAATATTTGTATATAATGTGTTTTCATAAAAAAATTTCATACACATAATCTTGATATTAGAAAAAGAAATATTTTTTCTTTAAAAAGATAATTTACAATAAAATATATATTTTCAAAGTAATTAGTTTTGTATATATCTATCTATTTTATTAGATGATTACATAAAATAATTAAGTAACATAAACTGATATATGTTTAATTGACAAAAAAATTATAATTAGTATATTTATTTGATTATAATATCTTACCGTTACAGCAAAAAATATAAATTATATTTTACTTATATAATATAATTTCTCAAAAACAATCACATTTTTACTGCATATTTTAAGAGATATTAAAAACAAAACTTAAAATAAATTTAATGGTAAACATCTTTTGATCAGATAACTACAATTCTTTTAAAATATCATAACACTATATAATTTAACGAGGTAGATACATTATATTTTAATAGTTAAAATTATATGTTTTCTTAATAACTCTTTTGATGTTTAATTTTCTGTTTTTATGTTTGTGGAATTTAATATAACCATAATCAAAATACTTAAGAAAATAATAATTCTTTATTTTAAAAATTATTTAAAATAAATTTCAGTTTAACACCCAATCAATCTAAAGCATAAATTATTTAAAATTTCTAAAAAATTTAATTATTGTAAATATTGATATGTTTTCACAAGCGTCTGAAAATTTCTTATTACTTATGTATGTAAGTTAGAATCAGACACTTTAGTTTTTATTTTTTTCGTTCTAAGCATAAAAAATATTAAAATACAAAATCTTACTAAGATATACTTATATTTCTAAGATAACAACCAACATAAATGTAAATAAAACAATTAATCAAAAAAATTTCAGATATTTAGAATAAAAAATATTATAGTTGAATTCAGAGAAATAGATAGAATCCAATATATATATATATATATATATATATATCTAAATGATAAACTAACTAAATATAATATATCTAAAATTATATATAACTAAAATAATATAATATTATTAGTACAACTATACATAAAAACTATAAATTAATATAAAAGTTAAAGTAAATATCAATCAACTATTATAATATATTTAGTTTATATATATTTATGTCCGTGCATGAGTACGGAAAATCACCTAGTTTACATTTTAAATGAAGATATGATTAGCTTGTATGTACACATAAAAAAAAAATACTTTGTTGACTTCTTTTCCAATCATAAATTATAAACCAGACTCCTGTTTCTTTTTCAATCATTCACACAGGAAACTTAACAAATCTCCTGTCTCTTTTTTTCTTTCTAGCAGCACCAATGACAACAGTCGTTGTTGAGGTCTCCCGAGTCATCCCCGCCACTGACTCAGTCCTAAACTCCGCTAACACGCTCACAATCCCGTTGACTTTCTTCGATCTACCATGGCTACGTTTCAACCCAGTCAAACGAGTCTACTTCTACAAGCTAACCGAGTCAACTCGTGAGCATTTCCACTCCTTCATCATCCCTAAGCTCAAACTCTCTCTCTCCCTCGTCCTCCGCAGCTACCTCCCTCTCTCCGGCCGCATCACCTGGAACCCAAACGACCCCAAACCGAGCATCATCGTCTCTCCAAACGACTCCGTTTCGTTGACCGTCGCAGAGAGCGAAGCTGATTTTTCCTTCCTTTCCAGCTATGGTCAACGTCCAGTCACCGAGTTACAAACCTTGGTGCCCGAGTTAACCTTTTCGGACGACTCAGCATCGGTTTGCTCTCTGCAGATCACGTTGTTCCCTAACCACGGATTCTCCATCGGCGTCGCAGCACACCATGCCGTTTTCGACGGAAAAACCGCGATGATGTTCATCAAAGCTTGGGCTCACTTGTGTAAACAACTCCAAGAAAACATAGTCAACTCTCTTCCGGAGAATCTGACTCCATCTCTTGACCGGTCTTTTCTCAACGGTCTAACCGGACTCAATGAGAAGATGGTCGAGGTTGTTACATCTACCAAAGGGAGAAGCCTGCGTCCGCTTCCCGCCAAGGAGCTCGGAGACGACGACGTTTTATCCACGCTCGTGCTGTCTCGCGACGACGTGGAGAGACTCCGGGAGAGAGTCAAGAGAGAGTCTATGAGTCAAGATATCCATTTGTCTACTTTCGTCATCGCATACGCCTACATGTGGACTTGCCTCGTGAAGGCACGTGGAGGAAACATGGATAGGTACGTGACTTTCTTGTTTATGGGAGACTTCAGAGAGCGGTTGGACCCGCAGCTTCCGGCGACCTACTTTGGAAACTGCGTGTTTCCGGCGGGTTGCTTCAAACGCAAGGCGGCGGAATTTGGGGGAGAGGGAGGGTTCGTGACAGCGGTGGAGATAATCAGTGAACTGGTGAAAGGGTTGAGTTCACGGAAGATAGAAACGATTGTGGATGAGTTTTTGGCTATATTCAGTTCCAAGGGCGAGAGCACACAGTTTGGGGCGGTAGCTGGATCGACCCGGTCGGGAGTATATGAGTCGGATTTTGGGTGGGGAAGACCGGTTAAGAGTGATGTTATCTCTATCGAAGGAGAGAAAATCTCAATGGGAGAGAGACGTGACGAATCTGGTGGCGTTGAGATTGGAGTGTGTCTGAAGAAGACTGAAATGGACATCGTTCTTGCTTTGTTCAATGATGGTTTGCAAAAATAAACGCATTTCTTTGTTTCCATGCAAAATCTCAATAAGGCAAAGATCAATTGAGTTGTGAGCTGTCTTATGTAATTGGGTGTTTTGGTTGCGTCATGTGTTTCGATTATTGTTGTATGGTATGATATGTTTTGTATTATTTGTTCGTTGCTAGGGGATGGGTGGGTAGGGAGAAAACTTGTGATACAAGAAATGTGTATTTGCTTATCTTAAACCAGATGAACACAACTAGATGTGTTTCTAAGAAACGTCTGAAGTGACTTCTGCTTATAGCATTTTGAAACATTTATGTACGAATCCACGACAACATATGACTAGTAGCCTAAATTATTGATCATATTAGGATTACTCCCAATTTATAATTATTTCTTAGCGCAAGAAGTGCAACTAGGCCAAACGTTTTTAACTCAACCCGAAATACCGACCTTAACCCGAACCACAAAAACCGAAACCGAATCCGAACTGTTTTACAAAAATATCTGAATGGAACTTATGAGCTTAGTACTTTGTACTATGGTTATCATCCGAACCGAACCGAAATCCGAATTAGGATCCGAAGATATCCGAAATTAGTTAAATATGCTAATGTTTTTATATATATTAAGGTGATTTAGATATTTTAGAGTATTTAAAATATTTTTTTAGTTTGTTTTATTTGTTATTGTGAATACTTTTTAGTTAATTTAGATAGTTTAACTAATTTTTAATTAGATTTGTAAATAATTTATATATTTTGAAACATTTTTTTGTCAATTTTCAAGGTCTTAAAAAATATATTTTTGGACGATTTTAAACATTGGTTAGATCCGATCTGAACCGAATCCGGAAGGAACCGAACCGAATTCGATCCGATAATTAGTAAAAACCAAATGGTACTTATGAGCATAACACCGAAAATCCAAAATTCCAAAAATCCAAATAACCCGGAGTGAAACCAAATGGGCCACCGAACGCTCAGGCCTAAGTGCAACCATGTTGAAAATATATCATGGTCTTCAAAAACTCACATAGAAGCTATCATACCTGGAATATATCAAAAACCTCTTGTCATTTTTGTATGTCCACCAAAAACTTCACCCAATGTGGTCTAGATAACAAAAAGAACTAAGAAGATATAAAGATGTCTCTCTTATTAAAACATAAACATTGTCTTGAAATACACCTTCTATTATAAAGAAATTATGAAAACAACTATACTACTTTTTATGTTTACATACAACATAATAATTAATCTTATGTCTAAACAATATAAAACATAAAAGTGAAGTGTATCATTCCATGCTCAAAATGGTTTGAAAATTTTTTTTGTTAAAATGGAAGTACTAAGGGAAAGGAAAAAAAAACTAAATAAACAAAAACACTGTTGGAACTAAGAAAAACAAATGGAGAAAATTATGATTCAAGTCATGATTTATTCGAATTCCAACTTGTCCATATCGATCAACATCAAATAAGAATCTAAACCGAAATCAAGGAATGGTGCTTAACCAATAGTTTAATTGCATAAATGTAGAAATCATGAACAAAGAACCGTGGTTTAAAATGAAAATTTCATAAAGATATGGTTTAAAATGACAATTTAACCAACCGAGTTGTATACTAAACGATAAAGTTGTAGAAATGTAGGCCAGGAATCAAAATCTTCCATTAGTGAAAAAATCAGCATTCCAAAGATCTAGCCTAGATAACGAAGCTTCAAAAGAGACTAATCTTCTTAAAAGACAAAGATTTGTAGTGCATTTTTTGTTCATGTGTTATTGTCGATAAGTAATTTTTTTTTGAACTGATCAATAAGTAAAATTTCTCTCACGGATGTGGCTACAGCCAACTTCATTTGTTAAAGCTGTTTTAGCAACAAGTACCCTGGCAATTAAGTTTAAATTGCGATTACTAGAAAAAAATGTATTGGTCAGTCAACTCAAGAGTAGATCAATATTACTATTCATCTTGATATATTTAAGTACTTGCTAACAGATAAGGAAGATCCAACATCAAGGTGTAAGTTAGTAAGAGCATGATTATCACTGACATACCTTCCACAGTTTCTCAACTATATTAAATTATTCTTATAACTACAATCTCCTAGACCGCTTAGCATAGACACACAAGTTAAGGTTGAAATCAGCATAACGATCTATTCTAGATAACGGATCTCCAAGATAAACGAAACTAGCCTTCATAGAAGATGAAGATTCATGATTGTCACCATCTCCGGTAGAGATCGAGCTTAACATCTACACAGAAATTAGGGATGAATTAGCACGAAGAACTATTCTAGATAACAAATCTCCAAGATAAACGAAACTAACTTTCGCAGAAGACGAAGAATCAAGATCGTCACCATCTATGATACATATCGAGCTTAGCATCTACATTCAGGGCTAAAATCAACATCAATAACCACACAAAGTTCAAAGAAACTGGAAATAGAGAGAGAATAAGCAGTAACCGTTACCTTGCTGATGATTTCCTCGTTCGCCATTGTTATGATCCGGAGAGAAGAAAACGAGACTGAGAGCGAGAAATGGGTGATCGAATAAGTGGAAAGAGGGAAAGTGTGGTGCTTTTTCTTGTGCTTCCCTCTTTAGAGTAAGTGCGCCTGATACAAATGGGTCTTTGCCATTTCAATGTTACTACTCAGACCATTTATAACATGCTTTAACTCAAACCGACTAACGTGTAAGAGATTAGTATTTAACTTTTTCAATTTTGCTTACAAGCAGTCCCATATATTTAATTAGCATGCAAATGATTTTAATTCTTTTTTAAGAGTTTCTTTCGGTCTAGAATGATTTTAGAATGTTATAAACGACTCTATATATTGGCATTTTACCATAATCAAAAAACTAAATTGAAACCGACTCAAAAATGCAAGTTCGGTTCAGGTCCAAATAGAAAACAAAATACCTATTGGATATATTTTTTTGGACATGTGGGTCTCCGTCTCGGGTACTCAAAATACCTTAAATATTTTTCATATAGTAGGTATAGTTAGACTTAGAGATGTAAGATGTATTTTTGGAATTACAAATATTTTAAAATTGAGGTTCGAGTTCTCGGTTTAGGATTTTGGATAAGATCTCACATTTTTAAAAATGTATTTAGTCTGCTCCTTGCTTTGGATTTTCGTATAAGATTACATGGTTTTTTGGTATTTGAATATTTTTGGATCTTTAAAATTTCGGATTTGTGGATACAATTAAAATACTTTGGATCTTTTCGAGTATTAAATACCCGATCTGACCTCAAACCTTCTATGTATATGTAAATTACATGTATATCTAAGAACCGATCTGAATCTGAACAAAAAAATATCAAATATGTAATAGGATTCACATGTTTAGGACTCAAAAGATCTAGACCCGAACTTGATCGAAAGATATGAATGCCAATGCTTACTTTTTTGTGCCATAAGTTTTGTTTTTCCTTACAAGAATAAATAAACTGATATTTAAAGAAAAGAATAATATTTATGAGATTTTTAAAATTTTGTCTATTAGTTTTTAAAAATTAGTATCATTTGTATTTACAACTAATATTAAAAATTGGACTTTTTAAAGGGCCTTAACTATGGAATTTTTCAAATCGTCGAAGCTCCGGCTTTGCTTTGTTCGCCGGGGGACTTATGATGGAAAGGGCAAATACGACAAAGATATTCTCTCTAAGAACCACATTGGCGTTTGGGGCTCATGGTGGAAAGAACATCAATAGGAATATAGATGTTGCCAGCAGATGGTTCACGATAGTTACTACTTACTACACAGGCTCTGCTGGTATTGAGGCTGCCCATGATCTTATCTGATGAAGGCTCCTATATAGTCATATTGGTCGCAAGGAAGCCTGCTGGTATATGTTTGCTATTCCAATTGCCTATATCTTTCTATTGGATTAGTTGAAAATGTTACCACACCTCTCGGCCCAGTTTTATCAGTCGATTGTGTACACACTGGAGAACCAAAATTACACGGCGAAGATACACCAGGTTTTAATGTTCGATCTTACTCAGCGCGAAGCACTTGAGAATACATTCACGATGAAATTTTGCTCAGACCTATTCTTTAAATAAGAACAAGGCATTACACGACGAGAAGAAAAATCAAGCAGAACCAACGAGTTACAAAGATCAAAACGTATTTATCCGGAGTACAAAATTTCTTACTTAGCTACAATTTTATTAGTTCAATTATTATAAAATTCATATACTATCTTAATATTAACTCAATCCAATCCAAAGGTAGACTATACCAAACCGTAATCAGATTGCTTACTCCTATCTATGGAAACTATGATCACCAAAAAGCTTTAAGAAAATAGAAATAAATAAAAAAAGAATCACAATATACATAAAACCCAAAAATACACTGGTAATAATGACATGGCAACTTCCTATTGGTCGGACAGCATCAATGAAGAAAGTTTCGTTTCGTAGCACATAAGAAAGAGCTTTTGCTAACGTGTCAACTAATGATTGGATCGACTGCATGAGCTCATGACTAAGTCGAACATCTGCACTCGGTCACAGAAGTTTCAAAGGGGTATTTCTTCGTAAATCAGATGTTATATTTCTCTTATAAAAGCCATCTCTGCACTAAACATTTTCGCCGTCACGGATTGAACGTTTTTCTTAAGCTTCTCTCTCTCTCTCTCTCTTCTAAAGGTTTTAATACTCTTTCAACTTCGTTGTGGTGGTGCAGTAAAGCAAGATGGGGTTAGGTTTTGCCAAGCTTGTTAGCAGTCTGTTTGCAAAGAAAGAGATGAGACTTCTGATGGTTGGTCTTGATGCTGCTGGTAAGACCACTATTCTTTACAAGCTCAAGATCGGAGAGATTGTCACCACCATCCCCACTATTGGTATGTTTTTAAAATTTGTGATATAAGTGTATAAACAAACTCTAGGATCATAATCAAATAACTATCTATCTTTCTTACAGGTTTCAATGTGGAAACTGTTGAGTACAAGAACATAAGTTTTACAGTGTGGGATGTTGGGGGTCAAGACAAGGTATGATCTCCACTTCTGATGATTCTTGTCTGATTATGTATCTAATGTAGCTATACAACGAAAATCATTTTGCTTCTTTTTGTATGTTTTTCAGCTCCGTCCCTTGTGGAAGTACTACTTTCAGAACACTCAGGGTCTGATCTTTGTTGTGGACAGCAACGACAGAGACAGAGTTGTTGAGGCTAGAGATGAATTGCACAAGATACTCAATGAGGTCCAAATCGATAATGAATTTTCTTATTTTTTTCCATCATACCCATTCTTCAGAAAAGTCTTAGCAACTCTAGTTTTTTTTTGTGTGTGAAGGACGACCTGCGTGATGCTGTGTTGCTTGTGTTTGCAAATAAACAAGATCTTCCAAATGCGATGAATGCAGCTGAAATCACAGATAAGCTTGGCCTTCACTCCATGCGTCAGCGTAAATGGTAGATATACTCATATACATCTCAATACAAGTCTTTCTTAAAATCAAAACTATTCTTGTGTACTATAACTATGTGTTTGTTTGCAATCTCTACAGGTTCATTCAGAGCACATGCGCAACTTCAGGTGAAGGACTGTGCGAAGGTCTAGAGTGGCTGTCCAACAACATCTCTGGCTAGGTAACATTTTGAAACACACACAATCTAACAAAAGTTGGTTTCTTATATCTTCTCATGCAGACACTTATCTTTCTAATCATGTATGTTCCCTTTTACGCAGGCGTAATGACGCGAAACTGCTTGTATTGAGATGCTTCTTCCTGCTGTGTGTTTGGGGGATAAATATTATAAATAGATTATTACATGAACTTTTTTTTTGTTAATTGGGTATGTGAATAGTCTGATTGTACAAGTACATGTCTTGTAAAGTTATTGCTTTTCGTTGTACTTTAATAAAACCTGGATTGATGGTCGAATGTTACTGCTTTCTTGTTACTACGTATATCTGTCAACATCTTCTACTATTTAAACTACTTGTTCGCGTACTATCTTTTGTACCAATTCTCGAAATAAATAGGCGCCCATTCTGGAATGACAATAAGAGAAGGTGCAGATGGCTAACCGGTTACCAATTTCCGGTTTTAAAAGATACTAACCGGTTCGCTTCTAAAGCCAGTTCTAAGTACAAATCGGCCCCTGGTTCTCAATATTCATGACCACTCACGTTCGTGTGCAGTATGGGCCGAATCAGGCCTGTAATAGATCCGACCCGACCCGACCCGACCCGAACTTAAACCCCCACCTTCGTAAATCACAAAACGTCGCCGATTGCGAGAAGAAGAAGAGTCAACATGGCGGCCAACGGCGTGAGAAGAGCTCTCCAGTCATCGTCATCGACGGGGAGAATATTCTTCCGTCGTTCTTCAGCTGCTCCGAAACTTGGAAATTTCGCTTTTGAGAATGGATCATCATCATCTCGCTCATCACTTCGCAGACTAACATCCTCCAGGTTTAGCGATAGATCCGTTGTTGTTGTTGAAAATGAGGAATTAGGGTTTTCTGAAATGATGAATTAGTGTTTTGTGTTGCAGGATCCCTGTGGAACTGAGTGCAGGGATGTCGCTTATACCTTTACATAGTGTTACTGCTTCAGCATTGCTCACTTCGTTGCTATCTCTAAGCAATCAAAGCTGGGGTTGCTTATCAGAAGGTATTTGACATTGCTTGTGTTTTGTCTCTTTCCGTGTTTGATCATTACAAAGTTGTTAGGACATTGTCTTTCTAAAGAGAGTGAAACCTCGTCCGTACCGTAATGAATTTCATCATGTCTCTAAGAAGCGGTTTTGATGTTTTGCAGGATTTGCGACAACACTATAACATTGGCCGGCAAAGTTTTGTCTCCAGGTGGGAGTGGGACTAATTACTTTTCAGATTTCAAGTAGCTCGTTTTCATTTTCGTTGGTGCTTAGCAAAAGAAACACGCAGCCTTAAGCTTTCTTGTGAATGGCTCCTTTGCTATGTTTATTTATACAATTGTCATTTTTCAGTCTGATGATTCCGTTACTACTTTACTAATCGGTTAGTAACAGTGGTTAATCTGTGTCTCTGTTCTCTACCGGAAGAATTTGGTTCCTCAAATTTGCTAATTACACATCAAATAACCTATCTTGGAGCTAATAACCCCTCCAGTGACAAAAAAAAGGAGGTAAATTAGCTAATAACCCCTCGAGTTTCCTAACTCATCATTTTATTTCTGCTTTCAGCTTAAAGTCTTTTGAGTTCTTGGTGTAAAAAAAAAGTATATAATAAGAGTTTTACTTAAGTAAAAAACAACTGATTTATCATTCACATATTAATGAAGCTGAGTTTGTGAAAGCACAATGAATACTAATACAGAGAATGTAACTAGCTTTGAGAAGTGCTTGAGCCTTGTGGACTTTTCATGGAACTTGATCACAGGAAATCTAAGCGCTACACTGTAGGACACATCACAGATCACTGCAACAACAGCTCCCACAATATGATTCGTAGCTTCTTTTTCTTTCTTTCACTGTATAGAATTAGAAACAACATTTTTCTCAAATCAAATTCAATTGTGGGCTCACTCACTTACTCACTTCAAGTTGTAGTGTTAGAGGGGGTCCAACTAGTTCAAGTGTCCATGTGAGAGCCAACCAAAAAGAGTGATTGTTGTTTTGTGATTTATGTCAATGTCTTAATTATAATCTTCGATTGTCGTCGTGGCTCGCATGATTGTTATCACATTGCCTCTTTTGCCAACTCGATGGGATAATAAGGTTTAGTCCATAAATAACTCAACTTGCTCACTTCAAACCCATGACCATGATGCTCAAGCCTTACCAAACTAGCTAGTAACAACTCGCTTGTTTCAAAAAAAAAATATTGTTAGAATTTTGTTTTTTTTTTGATCAAATCTCAAATTTTGTTTCTATAGTTTAAATTATAAGCCAAAAAATAACCAGAAAAATTAGTAATCATTTTGCATTTTTTTACTCTATTAAGAAAATTAAATAGTAATAATTTTTAATTTAGATTATATTTCCTAAGCAAATAAAAGCCTCTTGCTAAACCTTACTTTCTCCAAATTCCAATTTTTTTTTAAACACCAAAGAAAAACTTAAAAGTGCTTTTTTATCAATAAAGTTTTATAAAGGGGACCATTTTTCACATTCTTTTCGTTTCTCTTTATTTTGCTTTTGCAATTTTATTTTCTTAAATTTGGTCCTTTTACATTTTTTCCATTTACAAAAAGGAACTTTTTAAAAAATTCTAGAAATATCATCTTTTTGTTTCTTTCTTGTGCTTCTTTATGCTGATTCCAACTCTTACAAACAAATGAACGCCTTATCATCAAAATGTCGTTTAACAAAAGAACAACGAAACGAATTATCAAACAAATAACGTATTATCCACAGCAAATGCCACCACCAACCATACAAATAAAACCATAGAACGTTTGAGGCGATATGTTAGCAGATAAGATTGAAATGGAGGGGAATCAAACGCATATGGAATATTATGATTTAGGAGTCTCCATAACTATGTAAATAAAAAGAGGAAAAACAAAATAACAAGTGAGATTTACAAATGGTAGAAAAGGCAGCGCGAAACAAGGATCATGGTGAGAGAATATATGCACTGTTTGACTCTGCTCATAACTACTTTAACCCCTCTTGTTCATTGTTCTCATCAATCATAAAATAGAAAAATAAAAGATACAGTTAACTTCGTCCATGTGGTGGCATAGTCTAAAAGGATAGTAGTCCACACGAGGTTTTAAGCTACTGGATACTTCATTTGCCGAGGTAGTGGCTGTTCAGGAGGTCACAGAGCAGAACAATGTTAAAATATAGAGTATTTGCATTCTACACATAAACTTTATATCATAATTCACTCCATACCCTATTTTTTCCTTTATTTCTCCTCCCCACACATCATTATTTTCCCCACAAAATATGGCAAATCCCTAATTTCCCATTTTGTTAAGGATTTATACCCACGAAATGTACTCAATATTTACAAATATTTATTTAACGTGTTATGAAGCTTCTGCTATATTGCCCACGAAATGTTATGGCCACCGCTCTTTTGAGGCCACTGGCCAGTGATTAGTAGGTTGCACATGATTAGCAGTCATGATTAAAGTGTCAAATCACTAGAAAATTACATGTCATGAATCATGATAGATATAAATGTTAGGGAAAGCAGATTTTGTTGGATGCATTATTTTCTTCATTTCTGAAGAATTTCCTATGTAACGGCTATTTGTATTAAAGAGTACTTTGGTGTCTGATTTTATTTTTCAGTTACTATACTTTGGTGTCTGATTTTACTTTTCAGTTACTAAAACTTTTTAGTTTTGGACGTTTTTCTTGTTTACATTTTAAATAAACACACTTTAAATCATACTACATGTATACAACCAACTGGAACATAAAACATCTATATAAATTTAAACAAGATTAAAGAAAGTTCATAATAAAAAAAAATGTCTTATGTTCTTAAAACATTGTCCAGCATAAAGATGGATAAAAGACCAAAAAACTCATTTCTTAATAAAAAAATATAATCTTTCCCAAAAAAATAAGAATAAGATTTTTTTAAAAGGTTTGTACTTACTCTTTGGTTTAAGAATATATTCCATAACACAAACTGGGAAAGCTGATTACATGCATAAAATAAAATTATAAACTTGGGAATTTATTCTTCTAAAACCCATCAAGAAACTAAACTAATCACCAACCCATCAAAAAAAACTTTAAATTTAATTATAAAACATAAAAGGCATAAAATTAAATAAAGTAACGACGTTGATCTCATCACATGACCACTCTTTTTCTCCCTACCTTTCCCCTTCCTTTTCTCACTGTCTGTCTTCACTCTGAACAAAACAAACTCTGCAAAATCTAAACCTCTCTGTTTCTTCTCTCTTTTCAAAAAAACCTGAAGAACAGAGTCTACTCCCACTCTCGCATTGTCCCCAGAATACTCTGTGTATGAACTAGTGTTCTTGCTTCTTCTTCTTCAATCAAATCAATGGGTAGAGATGTTCTGGTTCTGTGTCTTCTCATTCTCCTCTGTTCTGGATTTGTAGCTTCAGCTCCTTCAGCTAACTCTCCAGCAAGTAAGTATACTTGAATCGATTCAAGTTCCATTTTTTTTCTTATAAAGGTTCCATCTTTGCTTTAACTCTTTCGAATCTCACATTTTTAACGCAGAGATTTTAAGTGGGTTTATATCAAATCACGGCTCTTCACTCATGAAATGGATATGGTCACTCAAATCCACTTCCACCAAAACAAGTTCGTTCCTTTCTCCAATCATAAAGTTTTCACCTTTACTGTTCCTTTTTTGTTTTTGTGATGAGTTTTGTTCTTGAAAACAGCAATTGCGACGAGATCGATGGTGAAATTCGAGAATGGGTATACAGTAGAGACTGTGTTCGATGGAAGCAAACTCGGTATCGAACCTTATTCTATCGAGGTTTTGCCTAATGGAGAGCTGCTTATTCTTGATTCTGAGAACAGTAACATCTACAAGATCTCATCTTCTCTTTCTCTATGTAAGTTTATAGAATGTGCTGTGTGTAACTTAGTTTAAGTTTGTTTCATGATCATGAATTATCTTGATGAAGAGATTGTTGTTTGTCTTGACCTGAAACTGAATGCACATGGACGGTTTGTACAAAAGATGCTGCTTATGGAAATTACTATATTTTTATTTTATGGGAGATTTGCTGTATCTTTGTCAGTATCTGGAATGAGTTTTGTCAGTGATGAGTATAGAGTTTTATAGGTACAATCTGACTTTTTCAAAGATGAGATCTAAACACAAAAAGTGTTCTCTATCAGTTTCTCTAGAATAGACTAGGTGATGTAGTATGATATGGTAATCATTAAGTCATTGAACTATTTTTTATAATGTTAAAACAAAATCTTTAATTTTCTTCCAGCATTTCAAGATTGCTGAATTATTGTTTTGTAATGTTTTCTATTTAAGTTTTGTTTACATGGGAACAAACTAATGGTGACATTTGCAGATAGCAGGCCGAGACTTGTTACTGGCTCCCCTGAAGGATACGCAGGTCATGTTGATGGGAGATTACGTGACGCTAGGCTGAACCATCCCAAGGGACTTACTGTTGATGACAGAGGGAACATATATGTGGCTGATACAGTGAACAATGCTATAAGGAAGATAAGTGAAGGAGGTAATCTATCTAATGAGATTTGGATCATAACTGCGTTTCATGGAAAGGGTTTGGTTGTAAACTCGTTGTATCTTGTAGGAGTTACAACAATAGCTGGAGGCAAAACTGCTAGAAATGGAGGACATGTGGATGGACCAAGCGATGAAGCAAAGCTTTCCAATGATTTTGATGTTGTTTATGTTGGAAGCAGTTGTTCTCTCCTTGTTATTGACCGTGGAAACAAAGCCATTAGAGAGATTCAGCTTCATTTCGACGACTGTGCTTATCAGTATGGAAGCGGTTTTCCTCTTGGTAACCTTACAGAAAACACCAAACCCTCTTTTCTTTTAACCTTCTTTGAAACTTTTTCTCTGAAAAACTCAAATGTGTATTGCAGGGATTGCTGTTCTTGTAGCTGCAGGTTTCTTTGGTTACATGCTGGCTCTGTTGCAGAGAAGAGTTGGCTCTATTGTGTCTTCTGATAACGTAGGTGTCACTTACATGTTCTAACTCTTCTGCTTAAAACTGACAAACATTTCTTACACAGGATCAAGACATGTATGAAGCAGATCATGATCAAAAGCCTATGAAACCATCCAGACCATCTCTGATTCCATCTGGAGACGAGCAGCAAGAGAAACAAGAAGACAGCTTCCTAATATCCCTTGGGAATCTCGCTTCCAATGCTTGGGTTTCTGTTATGGAGATCCTCAGAATAAAGCAGCCAGCAGACACAAACTTTCAGCAGTACCAAACAAAGCAGTATGCTGCATTTAGCACAACAGCTCCATGGCCACCGATTCAAGAGAGCTTTGTGGTCAGAGACGAAGATGAACCTCCTCCCGTTGAGCACAAAAACCAAACTCCAAGAAAAACTTATGCTTTTATGACTAAAGACGCAGAGAAAATGCAGCAGCTGCGTCAGAGCCGTGCATTCTACAGTAGCTGGGAAGCTGAGCTCCCAAATCAGCAGCAGAAGCAGCAGCATAGAAGGCATTACTCGTCGATCCCGCATACGTACTATGAGCAGAACAGCGAGCAGACTAATGAGATTGTCTTTGGGGCTGTCCAAGAACAGAGCAGCAAGCGTGCAGCTAAGCCTAAGGAGTCTGGGGAGCAGATAAATAACAGTAATAATAGTCAACAGAATCTTCACTACAGAGCTCATTCTGTTAGTTACCCATATGGATACTATCCGTATACATGAAAAAGTCTAGGGTTCTATGAGTTTATGGGATTATTGAATAAGATTTAGATGGAGATCAGTTACAAATTTTGGGTATAGGTGGTGTTTTTAAGATTTATAGTGAGGGAATTGGGGGATTTGGAGGACTTAGATGCTCTTGTCTTGTAAGGAAGGTTGCAAACTTTTGATTGTATAATATTAAAAAGATATGATCTTTGTGAGAAAATGATTCTGGAATTTTATTTCGAATTGAAGATTATTCCTACTGCACACATCTTCAAAGCTTTCAAAAAATGTTCGTTAGATATTATCTGAGATTTTGTAAGGCTTTGTGTAGTATCGTGACACAAACGCTAAACATAAAATCATTTTTGTATAGAAGTTTAATAGAGCATAAGTTATCACTTATCCCAAGCAAATGAATGCAACCATGGTTCCAACCTCTTTAGAGATGAAAAAAGACTAAAACCATTTATGAAAATGTGGTCTTTTACTTCTTACTGTTGTAGTGTTGATTGTTATTCATATTCTACGCATGCATATTTTTCACTGTAGTTTCAAATGATATACATGTTTGTTAAAAGACATATACTATATTCCAACTTTATTTTCAACGAGTATATGAATTATTATTGAAATGAATACTGTTTAATCAAATACATTTAGCAGATTTTAGGTCCGGTGCATATGAGGTTTCAAATCCGGGTTGGGTCTTTTCAGAATCTTTCGTTGTCCTTCATTTGGGGGGAATGTAATTTTTTCTCCTGGAATGGAATTGTAGAAACCATGTATATTACTTAACTGTGTCTATACATATAGAATCATAGATAACATGAAAAATACAACATCAAAATTAGCCATTAGTATATACGAAGACCATGAAAGAGATAAAACAAAGAAAGTTCACAAAGCATACTATAGCATTTGAAATTGACTAAATATAAACTTATGGACAAATTTCTTACTGTTGCATAATTTTAAACAAACTATATAAGATCAAGGAACATACGACTTAAAGCAAACTCCAAATTACAATCCATACACGGGAAAATAGATTTTGCAAACCATAGCTTTTTAGTAAGGAGGAGAGGAAGAAGAAGAAAAGTGTTATGATCTTCAAAGAGAGCCTGATATTGCTTTAAGGAACATAAGCTTCAACTTCAGTTGTGCAATATAATCGACAGTTTTTAATAAAAGTAGATCCGGTTGGTTGCATTGTTTCCCACCCGGTATCAGTATTTGGAGCTTCCTCACCTTCATCTGAAGCAAACCGGATCCTGATCCAGACCCATGACCCTTTTTGTTCTTCTTCTTCTTGCCCATAGTCTGCTTCCCCATCCTCTTGTATCTCTTTGACTCCTCCATTTGCTTATTGACAACACTTTGAGTTGTTATGCATACGTTCACGAACGTATTCTTCTAAACGAATCAGAGTTTTTTCAATCTTTTTTGGTTGTCATGTTATCTTTTGTGAACTTATAGAATTTGTTGTTTTTAACATGACCGTTTACCTCCACACGCTCCATCTGCTTGTCCTTTTTAAATTGTGTGATTAGAAAGCATTATCCATTGCGGAGTATATTAATTATGTCGGTCGTTAAATTTGTATTTAATATTTGCACGGTTCAATTATATATTCCCGAAAACATTGACAGATATATTCATCACGAGCTGGATTCACTACTCTTTTTGTTCCGTAGATATCAAAGTCTATGATCGCAACAATTCTTAATTTGATCTGTAAACCAAATTAATATGGATTGCAAGATATTGGAATATTCAATAATTCAAATATTTATACATATATATCTGAAAGACTCGGAATAATGGGATATTTTTTGGGGATCGGATCATAACTTAATTCCTACATGTGCTTTGCCAAAAACGTTAACATGATTAAGTTCTCACAGATTAAAATCATTTGTGCCAGCTTCACTTTTCATATAGCCCATACCAATATATACATCTGCCAGCACAATAGTTGAATGACAATCATTACGCGACTAGTAGTATTTTAATGACTAGATGATGATACTCATGTGTTTCTAGCAAACGTTTAATTGGTTGGTTGCATCATCAGACATCAACCAAAACTGACTCACATATATGCATGCAGCCCATACTCTCACGTGTTTTGGCCAGCTCAGTGTCCCTCGTTTCGGTTTATACTTGTAGTCGTGCCGTTAAAAGAAAACTAAAGCACTAACTGTTTCCATAGTTTTTATCCTTTTTGTCATAATATCAACTAGAGTTCATTCGTGCATCCACACAAATATTTGTGTAATAAAATATACATATGAAATTTATATAATAATTGCACAAACATGCTTCAGTATAGAGGTTGGTTCAATTTATAATATATACTACATCCGTTCCTGAAAGTAGAATTTTCTGGATTTATTTTTTGTTTCATAAAGATAGATTTTCTATATTTTTGAGGTAATTTTGTATACTTTTAAGAAGTATTAATTATGAATATTTGAATTGACTGAATTTTATTGGTGGATATTTATTAAAAAGTGGGTAGAAAAACAAATAATAAATGTAACTATGAGCATTTATTATATTTCTTAATATACGTAAATAGTCTAGAAAATCTTACTTTCGGAAACAGAGGTAGTAATATTTATGATAAATTGACAGTTTTTAATCGTTTATAATTTTGTAATTACTCATATTGCAATTAAATATAAAATAAATTAAAATGATATGTTATATAACATATTCGTCAATTAATATTTTTGACTATGGTAACCATTTTTGATGTATTTATTTATAAATTAAAACATCAACTATTATATGTATGTATACTAATAAATATATTATTTCCAAATAGAATGTATTTATGTTTTATTTAGATAGATAAATATGTTTCTAATTCTTTTATATGCCAAATAAATTGTACTTCTATGTTCATTTTTTTAAAATATTAAATTGAAATTTATATGTTGTATTCTTATAGTATATATTTTGTATGTAAAATGAAATAGTAATATACATGAATATATAACATTTAAAGTTTGTAGTCACATTTTAAATAAATTTCTCTTGAAGAGATTCTGATTCTTGGAAAATATTGGGCCTAAGTTAGGCCGTCATCTTCACACTTTTTTTTCTTAAGGGGCTTAACTTCACACTTCACAAGTCACAACAAAAAAGAAGTAAACTAAAAGAAAAACATTTTCCTTACTATATTCATATCAATATTTGTTTGTTTTCTTGTATTTTAAGCTTAATTCAAACCTAACCAAATTAGCTCATAACTTGGTCCTAATACCACAATGAAGAGCCGCATTTAATTATCTTAAACAAAAAAAAAAAACATATTCTTTTTTTCTCTCTTAATTATTGAACCAGGAATATTTCCAATACAATATTCATTAGAATAACATGTTTATTCTGTTGATATATTGCTTGATTTCATTCTTGGCATGGCTGAAACAATTATACAAATTTTAGTATATAATTTCATAAATAGCTTTCATCATGTAAGATGTATGGTCACTCACTTTGACCCAATGGTAGAGTTCTGAACCCATTTTAAAATCAACTCATATCTAATAATTAAGATGAACATAAAAAAATCTAATAATTAAGATTTACGTATTAACTGGGAATGATATTAGGGCATTAGATGAAAAGTTTTATTTATTTATGTGTATTCGAATTTGTATGATTAAAATCATTCAGTTAGTGTTAATTCAGAATTGGTATATAGTCAAAAAGGCATCATCAGAAACTCACCGGCCTAGCGCCAGACCTAAAGTTTACGAATTATGAACCTGTTGGACGGGGATTTGGAGAAAACAAAATTAATTTTTTTTTGGTTTGCTTTTTAATAAAAAAAAATAACGGATCAATCGCGCGACGCCACGTGGCGAATCCTGTGTGAATCGGGTTCACCAAAATCAGTATATTTTATTTTATTTTTTTTTTGATCCGCGTGTGAACCTCCCCCACAAACTTTCAACGAGGATGCTCTAACATTTTTATTGGATAACCCTTTCAGGATCAAATACTTGGACTCTGATGGAGGGGACGAGCAATGTGACACCTTTCTTCAGTTCTTTTTGATAAAAATCTTGGTCATCAATTTTATCATTATTCAATTTGGACCCATCATCTTTATATTTTCCTTATGTGGGTCCTTAATCAACCGCAGCCAGGAGTTGACGAATAGCCTGGCCTACTGTATAAATATTGCTGATTGTAATTACGAGATTTTACGTTGCTTAGGTCAGCCAAATGCCTTGTCGTTTTTTTTGCTCTTAAAGTATTACTTCAAACATATTTTGAACAAAAATCTGTGCTTGCAGTTTTGAAGTTTCTTAGAACATGTTTATCCTACTTTATTAAAATAGGGTGCTTAGAATTTTTTTTTTTCAGATTCAAAAAAAAAAAAAAAATCAATCGCGGATCGCCACGTGTCAGTGAAGTCCGCGAACAGTTGAAACAACGCACAGACGCCGACACTTATTTAGGCAGTAGAAGCATCGAATTTTCAGTTTTTATGGGATCCACTTCCACTTTTTTTGCTAAGCACCCTCTGTAAAAGCAGGGATAAACATGCTCTTAGCAGAAGTTATGGTAGTATCCCATAATGTAACCGTAATGGAAATGCGTGAACCAGTCACTCAATCATACTAAATCATTCGATCACTTACTATTAGCTAGCTTAGATATATCATTTGTTCTTCATAATAACTATGACTTTAAATAATATATTTGATGAAAACAACACTGAATCAGTTAATATCCCCTCATTACATGGGAGAGAGGATGCTTATAAAGCCTTATATCCTGACATTTACCGATCTAAGTTGACAGAGGTATGTCCAAACACAGGGTGTTATACAAAGTCTGATGATATATTAGGAGAATCCACGTAAGTTACAAGTTTATATCATGCTCTTAATACGTTATGAGACAAAAACGCGAGGTAACTACATAAATAAAATGATCTTCAGATACCGCATCACACTATTTGGATTTATGAAAAAAATGAAAAAGAATGTGACATAAGCATATCACCTTTAGTGCAACGGGGGAGTCACTCGTGTAGCTTCATCACGCTGGTAAAGTAGCTTCAACTCTTCGTGAAAGGTTATATCTGAAAGAAAAAAAAAGATAATGATAAATATAAACACAAATGTATAACAATTGTCCTCTCCCTTTATAAATGACAGAGAAATGAAACCAATAATTTCGCATCTTTTCCAATAATATTGAAGAGATCTTCTTTACTTCTCTTTCTCTCTCACTCTCTCTCCAAATCTATCTATATTTGCCGAGATTCTTGGAGCTAGAAAACGTCGTGCCGTTTTTCTTTATCTAAAAGTCTAGAAGGAGAGAGATGGAAGTGAAGGTTAGAGAGTTTGTGCCGTTTGTGGCAATGGTAATAATGGAGGCATGCACGATTGCTCTTACGATATTGGCTAAAACAGCTTTAACTGGAGGGATGAGTCCTTTTGTGTTCGTTGTTTACACAAACGCTTTGGGATCTATTCTACTTCTTCCATTTTCTTTCTTCTTCCACAGAAATGAAAGGTGATCTATATAGTTTATAACACAAAACATAATATGTCCTCACTAATCAATCTTAATACATTTTTCTGATTTTGTTTTAATATTTACGTGATGATATTCTATTATTCTTGCAGAACCGAAGAATCTATCTTTTCTTGGCCACTCTTCGTTCGCGTATTCTTTCTAGGTTTCACCGGGTAAGTACATCTCTTTATTATTGAACGTTTTCTCATGAGTCCTAGATTTTGTGAGCCAGATTTTAGTTTTTCCAATATTTTATTTGCAATAACAATAATAGGAGGTCCGTGTTGCGAAACCCATTACGTATCAACCACCAAAGGTTTGATAAGTACTATATGACATAAAATTTCCACGTCATCTATCAAAAATAGACAAGACTGCCTGTTACTTGGTTATACCGACTCTAATAGTGCTTTATTTTCTAGTCTTGCTTTATATTTTGTTCTAATGACATTTCATTTTTTCTTTATTTCTTCAAATTTTGAAGAATTGAATAATTTGAAAAAATTATTGTTCAGGTCTTCATTTTTGTGAATATGATTTTTTTTTATAAATCAATCTTTAACTTTAACTTATTATTATTTTGCACTTCAGTAAATTATAAGTGTTGATGTCACACAATTAATTTTAAAATTTACATTATTATTTTCATCTAATTAGATGCTAGTAACGAAAAGCATGAAAATACTAATTTCTGAGAATTCTATATTGATTTAGAAGAGTTTAAAATAAATAACTCATTTTTCGTCTTTAAATGTTTTGGTTAATCACTTAAGAGAAGTATATGTATTTAGTATTTCTTTATAAAATTTAATATTTTTTGTTTATTGTTTCATTATTTATGTTATGTGTAATAATTGTATCATATAATAAAGCTTACTATTAAAAAAATAATTGGGATAAATTAGTAATTTTTTAAAACTATAAGATGTTATTATTATAAAGTGGTGATAGAATATATTTAGAATATTTTTTTGAAGAAAAAAATGAAGCAAATCCTTGAAGAATATGCTACTTTGTTTTTTGGAAAACTTCATATATATTCTGAAGAAAAAAATGAATTTAACTATTCGATATGTTTTTATATATAAACGAGGCCTGACCTACATATGTTTTAGTATCTTTAACATTGTGACGTTTCTTTGTGAGCGGTATCGCACACCACGTTTTCTTTGTGTAATTAATATAAAATAAAAATTGCATGACGTTGTATATAATTATTTTGCCCTCTTGCTAGCACACACGTACTTGCATGCATTTTAACGTACTTAAAATGTTATTCATGCATATACACATTCACTGACTGTATTGAATTACTTTAAACTTGTGAAGGATATTTCTATTCCAAAACTTGGCCTTTGTGGGACTAAGCTTCAGCTCACCCATAGTGGTATGTGCAATGGGATTACTCATTCCTTCATTCTCCTTCTTGCTCAGTCTCATCCTCGGGTAAGCCATCTATCACCACCATTTCACAATCAGCATATAATTGTGTAGTTTTTAAAATATAACTATCTATGCATGCTTATATAGAAAGAGTAAGTTGGACTGGAGAAACACGAGCACGAGGGCTAAAATCATGGGAACAATAATCTCATTAAGCGGAGCATTCGTTGAAGAATTATACAAAGGTCCCTTCATAAGACCAGCTTCGTCTGCTTCCCCAACTCGTCTTCTTAAATCAATTCCTAAACTATTGGTCTACTACAACATCCCGGACAACTGGTTCCTCGGTTGTATCTTTCTAGCCGCCGCTGTTTTTTGTGTCTCCCTCTTCAATGTAATTCAGGTATGATCAACTATAATATAGACCATCTTTAACGCATGTTACTCAATTTGAGACTAATGTTTCTTAAATCTTTGGCAGACAGGAACGGTCAAAAAGTATCCACACGTTATGAAAGTGGCTTCGTTTTACAGTATAATCGGGACAATCCAATGTCTAATCTTCTCGCTGTATATGGAAAGAGACCTAAGTGCATGGAGGATCGAACCTAACTTCGATCTTTGCCTCATTATTGCCACGGTAATTAATATACGAAAAAGTGAACCAACTAATCATATATACTACAGTTTATGATTAACCTCTCGTGATGTGTAATAAAAATAGGGAATCTTCGGAAGTGTAATACGGACAAGCGTACAAGTAAAGTGTACCCAAATGAAAGGACCATATTACGTGCCATTATTCAAACCCTTTGGAATATTTTGGGCAACACTCTTTGGCACCAGCTTCTTCGTCAACAGTCTTCACTACGGCAGGTTCGTTATCAGATTCATTAATAATCATAACTATTTACCATTAGCATGTTAATTATTGCTATGCATGAGTGTTGATCAGTATTTGATTGGTGCATGAGAGCAGTGTCTTAGGAGCAGCCATAGGTGGCGTTGGATATTACACAGTGTCCTGGGGACAACTGAGGGAGACGGAAGAGAAACAAAATCCAAAAGAAGAAAGAAAACCTATCAAAACTACTCATCATCACGAAGAAGATGAATACAAAGTTCCATTGCTTATTAATCAGGAAGAAAGTCCTGTGTGAGTTTTGTTTTATATATACTTAAAAGGGTCGCTTAAATATTTTTTGGCCCCTTTCATTCAATGTGGCGTGAATAAGAAGAAATGCGTGTGAGCGTGTGTTAAATATTAGTGTCAATGGGATTGCGGAAGTAGGCTTTTTCGTCCGAAACGCAAAACCCACCCAATGTAAATACATATCTTTGGATATCTAGAGCACTCTATTATGTTTTTATGTAATGAATATTCTCTGAATTGATCAATCGTAGTCCAGGGTCAACCATAATTGAAAGTTATAGATAAAAGGTGACATATGTTAACGGTTTGTAAGTTCAGGATTTGAAAGAGACTATCATGGTAACTAACTTCTAAATGTGCATAATTTACATGATTCCAACTCAAAATTTTGCTGACAATTTATTAGCTTCTAATGCGCGTAACCAAATAGTGGTAGATGATTTTTGGTATGATGTTAATTCATATGTTCTAGTTTCGATTTATGCTGTAAATAACACTGCTGCTATTTGGTGAGTTTGGGTTTGGTTTTGTGTCATGCAAATTATATGGTAGTCAAGTAACATATGATCTGGTCAATTCTGAAATTATTCGGAAGAAATTTCAAATTTGGATTAGACAATTTGATATACAATTAACAATGTAGTATTAAGTGTGTTCATTATATAGAGAGCATAAAAAGAAGCTCAGATGTACGGGTAGATAAATGTCTTTTTAAGAAAAACCTTAGAACTAGAAACCTCTTCCCCAACGCTAGGGGTGGGCACGGATCGGATATCCGGGTTTTTTTAAGGTATTTGTGATTTGCTTCGAATGTTACGGATATCTAATTTTGGTATTTGCTTTGCTTCGAAAAAATACGGATATCCGGAAAAACGGATATCCGGAAAATAAATAGATATTTGCGGATATTTACGAATATTTACGGATATCTCATCCATTTTAATTAGTAC